ACATTTCTTTCTACACATCCATCCAATCTCTTGTTTCAAATTAGAAAAGCAAGCTGTCAAATAATTCATATGCTAAAGTCATACAGTAATCAAGTATATCTATATTGTTTCAGACATATCATCAATGTATTATTGACTTGTTTTACCAACGCATATGCTTCAGGCTGGTCACGTGTAACTCATGGTAGGTTAAATATCTAACAGTCCACTGTCATGGAAAATTTGTTGTGGTAAACACCATGGAATCAAAGGTCAGCCTTGAAACTGATAAATTACATTTTTCAAAGGCTCTTGGCATGAGACATCCAGGCTCTTGTTATTAGGAACATAATTAACATCTTCACTGCCTCCAGCAGTGGTGTGAATCCCTTCTCAAGTCCAGATTCACCTTGTATCTGCATAGTGACAGGACACATATGTCCTCAGATGCAATGCAAAAACAAACTTCGTGCAATGCGGAGGAGAAGACTCTGGTATCAAGCTGACCTGAGTGCGCTCTTACCAGTCTGTGAACCAGAGAGTCTGGCACCTTTCCCTGTCCTGTCTGTCTGTGTGATAGCATCATGGGACTTGACCAGAGCTAGTGCTTCTGACCAGCAAGTAGACAGTAACATTAATGGTGGAGGGTCAACTTTAAAAGGAAAGTTTACAAATTTCCTTGACAAAGTAAACATGTGATTCATCAGACAAAAGCAGCTCTGTGCATTCTTCATGGAAAATTTTTCATGGCAAAATTCATGTAATCTCTGTTCCTTCAGTTTTGATCAGCATAGGCTTACACTATGCAGCATAGGTTTCTGGTTTATTCAGAAAGTTCAACAGAATTGAATTCATGTAATCTCTGTTCCTTCAGTTTTCACTTTGATCGGCATAGGCTTACACTACGCAGTGTAGGTTTCTGGTTTATTCGGAAAGTTCAACAGAATTAATTCAGGCTTATGCATGCTGGGATTCCTGGTCCTGATAGGATTTGCCATACACTCCATAATGCCACATGTGAAAGAATGCAGCCTGTTTTCTTTATTTAACAGCTCTGTAACAGCATCTTCTGAAGACATACACGAAATATTTCTAGTGAGGAAAAAAAAGGAGAGAACATTCAGAAATTAACGGTGTCCATGGGTTAAAAGAGTTGTGAGAAACACCACAACACAGATTCACCCAGCATGTTTAATGCTTCTAGTCTGATCCTCTTTTTCTTTATTATTATTTTGAGAAGAGATAGCGTAAGGGAGAATATATTCAAGACAGGAAGAAAAAACTTTATGATACGACGCGGCAAACTCAGTTGTGCTGCAGATTTGAAGGTCATCCTTTTGTCTTCGGAAGTGGTTACTCTGGGATTGATATGTGTGAGAACAGAGTTGCTCTCCTGAATCTCCTGATAACCTGGTACTATGCTGATTATTTGATTGTAGCAGGCAAGCAGACTCCGGCATATTCTATGTGCTTTTTCTTCTAGATGTAGCAAGGCAGCACCCATTGATGTGCCGTAAATATTACATTAAGAAATGTTCTCTTCATATAAAGTCAAGAGAGAGACAGAAGTGGCTCCCGAAAGTCCTTTGGGGGAGTGGGATTTGATGCCCCATTGGTGCAAATTGCTGCGTATCCGCCTGTCCCAGTATGCTTGGCAAAGACGTTTGGCAGTAGCGCTGCTGTTGAACTCACTGGAGCCGTGATAACCTAGCTCAGCTGAGATCTGCCCCAAGAGACTCACCAGGTCGGAATTGTCCTCCAGGCTGCGGCTCTAACTCCGTAAAGGACTTGAACAAATAATTTCATTTCCTTTGCCTCAGTTTCTGTGAATGTAAATAGATACTGAGGACATTCATCACCGTCTCACAATCTGTCAGGCATAGTGAAACCTGCTGGAGAGTACAGGATTAAACAGCTATGTAGGTATGTGATGAAAACACGAAGATGGGGTGAGACTTCTGGTGAATAATGGGCAGTTGGAAAAACAAAAACAGAGCAACACAGTAATCCAGATAAAGAACAGCATCAGAAACTGAGCCCCCACTTGTGGAGAATCAGCTTCATCTCTGCCTGCGTGACACAGCTACTTTGCCAGATAACTGAGCCTGGAAATTCAAAGAAAGTTTGCAAAAGAAGTCTTGTCTTTCCCAAGTAAGAATAGGTTCTTTCTTAGTAGAACTGAAGACATTTAATTCAATTTAGGGGAAGTGTTACGTAACATCCATTTCATTTCTGTTGTTGTTGCCCCTACTTTTTTCTGACAGAAATGCATTTTTGATGAATATTTAATGCCCTTGCTTTTAAGAAAGTAGTCTGCTGCTGATTTGAGGTTCCTGGGAGAGGAGGAGCTGCATGAGCTGAATACCAGTGTGCTGTCAGACCCCATGTCTGGAACAGGAAGGTAGAGCTCAGGAATACCAGCTGAACAGGGCAGACCCGCCTATTTTTCCTTAGAAGGGATCAGAAGACAGCAAAACCTGTCGCCTGAGGGTGTCCATAGGAGAAACTGCAGAGAAGCCTGAAATGCCGCTTGGCTGTGTCCGAGAGGGAGAGGGGGGAAAACAGCACAGGCGCGGCGTGCCTCAGAGCGGAGGCAGAGCCCTCTGAGGCTTCGGGTGAATTGTAGTGCTTGGAATGATTTTTGCTACGAAGTTAATACTTTTTCCCTTTCACAATCTTTTTTTACCAGGGAAGCAATTAAAATATTCATTCAGCATATTGTGCTTTAAAAATATAAAACACAAAGATCAGCATGTGTGTTTTCATTCTGTCGTTCCTGATATTACTCATCATACCAGAACAACTTGTGTATTTTTTAACTGCGTTCTTTTTTCCGTCAGATCTTGTTTCTTTTTGGAGGTTCAAGTGTGAAGCTCAGTGTTTGGTTCACCTTTTGTAGAACGGATGCATAAATTTTTGTTCCTCGTCTGTTTCAATAAATGTCATCGATTTTATTATGTAGGTGGCTCTTCATGTAGTGTGCTTGGTTTTGAGAATCTGGTGAGTAGAGGAAGGGAACGTATTTTAGTCTGAAGATTAAATGGTGATGGATGATAGAAACAAGCAAACAACCCACTCTACACCCTACTCCTCCCGCATAAACTTGCAAATTTTTTCCTGTCTTGGAAGGGATCAGATGATTCCATTGCAAGTCGTCCTGTTCGCATGGGTCAAGTTTTGATCAGTGAAGTGTATTGCAACGCCATTTCTCTTTGATCTGTTTTTCTGGTTTCTAAACTGAAAGGTGTCATGGTTTGTCTGAGCAGTAGAAGCATGGGCTCTCGCAAAGATTAATGAACTTTCTGCTTCAAGTTGATGTATTGTGCCATGTCCATTCACGTCTCTGCACTCTCCATATAGTGCCAGCTGCTGTATATTGCTCAGAAAGTTGAACGTGATATGCTGATATAATGCCTATTTAAGGTAGAATATGAATATCTTAGTTTATCTTTAAACGCTAGCTATCACTTTGGTATTTAGCCCAAAGGTGTGTTGTAACTGTATACGCAGTATAACATTTTAATTTAAAGCTGTAACATCTCAGTATATACACTTTTTAACTACAAAACTGCTCTATTACTGGGTTGTGTTGTTTAAAAAATAGGAATATGCCAGATAAGCTGGTAGAAGAAAGAGAGAAGTTCTGTTTTATCAGTGAGTAATTTTGTATAGCTCCATTTCGGAACCTCAAAGGCTGAATCATTTTTCAGTCTTTGTTTGCAGTGAAGTTTATGTTGGATTCATGAAATGCCATGTATCAGTTGTACTTAAAGATTTTGAGGTTAGTAGATAGAGCATGAATTTCTAATAAATTTTAGTGCGCTTTATTTAACCATTTCCTACTCCCAAGCCTCCCCCCTCCAAAGAGCCCCCAGAATGCATGCCTGTGCAAGAACAACTATGCAAAGCTCTTGAAACTTTTCATCATAAACTTTGGTTCGAAATTTAATGTCTCGCCTCTCCCTGCAGGTTTGAAAACACTCTGTAGCTGTCTCTCTTTTAATGTTTTAGGGAAAATACTACTAGAGATGGTAAAATGACCAGCTGAAGGGCCTGGCTTGCTTTGAGCCTTAGCCTACAAGTGGCTAAGTGGAGAACCTGTTTGACAGAAGGATCTGTATGACTTACTTGAAGCTAAAGCATTGTACTCCTTGGACGTTAGTTAAGAATCAGTCTGGTTCCTTGAACCTGGATCCAAGACTGGTTACTGTTCAAGGAGCAAGTAGTGCCACAGAACAAGAAGGAAGGATTTATGGCAAACAGATTTTATAATGAATTTTTCATGGTATTCTTCACCTTCTTGATCATTTGCCTCAAACATTTTTGTGCTTTTTCTAGAATCATATTTTATATAAGGTATTCCATTAGAAATTTATTTTGTAGGCCACCTTAGGAATGAATAACTCTTCTGTTCCTGCATTACTTCAGGGTTGCCGTCAATCGTAATAGAACAAGTATTCTGTGATTTATCTGTCATCCTTGTCTTTATGTGTGTGCAGACTTGCCCCTTTTCCTTTCATCTTTGCTTTCCCCATTTTTGTTGATATAATGTCCTTAAAGATACTACAGTAGCTGTTCACATTCCAAATAGTTAAATGTAAAATAAGGGACTTCTAAAAGCTTTGTTTCATTAAGTGCTTTTTTTTGTTTGCTGTAGTCTTGTGGTTTTTCCCATAGCTTGTGATGAGTTAAGCTCCAAGGCAGATGATGTTTTTCCAGCACAGGAAAAACCCTTGCCAAGGCAAACCATGCTGAACCTGGAGAAACCTCGCAGAGGCAACACTCTTGACTAACTTTTGGCTGCTTTTACAGAGGTTCAGGATTGTCGCTGTACAGTTATGTCGCCACTGACAAAATAATGCGAAGAATCAAAGCAGTGTATGGCGGCAGCTCTGCGGGGCAACCAGCATACCTTTGCTAGAGCATAGCCTGCATGAACCACAGCTTAATTACATTGGGTAGCATATATAATGCCGGTGTTCATTCTGTAATTTTATGCTTATCACTTTGGCCTGTTTCAGATAAGAAGACAAGGCGGAATACAATTACTGGTGGACCTATTGGACCATCGGATGACAGAAGTCCACCGTAGTGCCTGTGGAGCTTTGAGAAACTTGGTATACGGCAAGGCAAACGACGACAACAAAATTGCTCTGAAAAACTGTGGTGGTATCCCAGCATTAGTACGGTTACTCCGCAAGACTACAGATTTGGAAATCAGAGAACTGGTCACAGGTTTGAATCTTTCAGTATTTTTTGTTCAAACTCTATACAGGGCCTGCAAGCGGAGTTCTGCGCTGCATGCCACTTGCTCCATCAGTAACTCTTATTTCATTGCCATCTTCTCTGCCGTAACAAACCACTTTCAAGCCCTTCAGGTATATGTAATGTAGGAATAGCTTTACTGAGTATTATGCAGACAGTTTACAGGTGCAGGCGTGGTTTATGCTTACAGATGCTGGTCACTTTGTTCTTGGTTAGCCATGAATGCTCTTGCAGGAGGTGTGCTCCATCCACGGATGTGTTGCGGTGGGAATCCAACCGTCAGCTGTGCTCTGCTCTCCCTCCTGTCTGGTGTAGGGCTGCACGTGCAGAAGCTGGATTTTACTGAATTTTCTTAGAAGCTGTTACTCATTTCTTTTATATCCTCTACAGTGAGAGGGAGGATTCGTTTTGTTTGGCCTTTTTTTTTTTTTTACTTTTTGTGGTTCTGGTAGGAAAATGGAAAAGCACGTTGGTGAGATGGACAGCGGCATCTTCTGAAGCCTTTTTTCTGAAATCGGATAGCATGCTGTGTGACGTGTTAGAAATATGCAGGTAGTGGTAGGTAGAGTCTATTTCTTTTCTTGCTGTAGTAGAATCTGATCTTTTTAAGATTGTTTGGACTTTTTCCTCTATGACATTCAAGGTGGGGGTTTTTTTTGGAAGTACGGGAATGCTGTCAAACAGCACTGGTCTGAAATGTTTGGAGATTTTTTTTCCCCTTCCCCCTAAGCTATCCTATTTAAAATGCAAAACAGAAGCTAGATGGGTTTTTTTGATTCTTCACTTTGTGATTTCATTCTGTTTGATTGCTAACATCAATGTGGTGATTAATTTAATGCTACAAATAAAAAATCTTAAGATCTTTTCATCACCTTGTTTTACAAAGCCTGTATTTCCATTATGATTTTCCTACTAAAATATGTAAGAAAAGATCTCATTTCTGTCATAGAACCATCAGAGTACACGCTATTATCTGTGCTTCTGCAGAAGTTACTTACCCTTGTGGGTCAGGCCTCATTTAGGGTACAAATGATAAGATGATTGTCTTTTGGCTGACTCCAGGTTCCTTCCTTGAGGGTGTCTGAATTAACCACATGGTGTTTTTTAAATGTAGATTTTTATATTTAATTTTGCTTCTTAGTTACAACACCTATCACCTCGTACTAGTTAGGCAGGATTAATGGGGCAGAGATACTGGGTTACACGAGCTCGGATGGTGCCTCCTGCAGAGTGACAGAATTACTGACAGATCTAATAAAGTGTAACCACGGCTTCGAATTCAACATACTTGTTTGTCTCTTGGTTCTGTTGTCTGTGTCCTGGCTCCAGGGAACATTCTGCCTATTTGTTCTGAGTAGTAAGTGGCGAACTGCTAATGAACATCCGCAGTACACCTCAGCAGTCACAGTGGCATTTCCCATGCTGTCTGTAGACAGAACACACAACGTCATTAGGCCATTTAAAGAAAAGATACTAGGCTACAGTTCACATTCCTTCCATGGCACAATAGGTTGTTAAATTTTCCTGAATTCCCACAGAAAGAAAGGATGTGTGTGCCAACACACCCTCGAACTTTTACTACCAAGAGAAGTAGGTACTGAGCATCGATGGTAGGCAGTCACCAGCCGTGTACGGGTAGACACAGCTCCCAGAGACGGTGAGCATCTGGAGTGCTGGACGGCTGTGAAGGGGGAGCAGAGCGAGATGGTGACCCTGAGGAATGGAATCAAAGTCAGTGGTATTTCCAGATTTTATTCCTAGGCCTGGTTTTGTATTGGTTTTTTTTTGTTGTTGTTACTAGCCAGTACATCCCAGAAGGCCACTGCTTGCCCTGGCCGGGTTTTGTGCCTTTCGGAGTGCAGATCACTCGCCCTTGCTTTGAACATGCGAACCGGGCAGTGGTGGCGTTCTGCAGAGCTCCTTTCCAAAGCAACGCTCAGAGCTGCGCCTCTCATCTTGCATCTCTTAGGAAACAGGCTGGAATCGCGCATCGGATTCCGTTCTCGTTTGCTTTTTTGTAAAGTGTTGTAGTGTGACAGCTGCCCCAGTTAAATTCCTTCCCTCTGTCCTTTCTGGGGAAGGAAAGATAGCTCCTGCAGCAGCTGCCGTGGTAATGAAACAATTTGACTTGGTGGTAGGCACGGGGGAAGATAAAAGAAGTTCCTCCTGCTTCCCGCCAGCCTTCCTGAGCTGAGGTGGCAGGAAGATAATTATTTCAGCAGTGCCACCACAGCCTGAAGGAAGTACAGAGAAAATAATAGCAAATGTGTGTTTTAGGAGTAAACATAATGCCTTGAGCCTTTCCATCTCATGTTCATTGTGCTTCCTGTCGACCTAAAAGCTGTTCGTGTTTGCTACTAGTAGAGAGGGCGCAAAGTTCCCCCCTTAGGTATTCACACAGGCTCTGCCATTGCCGCCCCTGAACACTCCTCCAGCAGTTGTCCTCAGAGCGCTTCTCCTGGGTGGGGAAGCGCCATTATCTCGCTGGTATGGGTGGGGAACGGAGCCCATCAGGTCCAAGTGACCTGACCAGAAATCCGGGAAGACAAAGGTGTGAATCACTCTGAGGAGGCAGTTAGCTGAGAGGGAAGAAACGCGGGCAGGAGAGGTCTTTAGCAACTCAAGTCTTTCTGGAGAGTGGCGAAGCGTTCGTCGCCAGCCCCAGGTGCTGTGAAGCACGTGCCCACCAGAGCGAAAGTCATGATGTTAGTTCCTTCCTCAGTCAGTCATATCTTCTTCCTCCTTGTTGCTTCTCTCTGAGGAGATTATCGTTTCAATTTCCAGCTATCTCAGGGCAGGTTTTGGAAGAGTATTTAAACCTGCAGACCAGCTTTCTATCCCAGTAGCTCTTTGTTTGTCAGGGTTGCCTTTGGTGCCATTGGTGGCTTTTCCTCTTTACCAGAGATTTCTTTCTGCCAGAATCTCTCCAAAACAGTTTTTCAGTTCTTCCTTTATCTCATCTTTCTCCTGCTTGGTAGCAGAGGACTCAGACTAGTATTGGAAAACCTTACCATGCTCAAATTTTTCAATGGGGCAAACTGAACCTTACTGCGAAGTGATAACAGCTTCAAGGCTTTCTCACATGGAGCAAATGGGTTTGGTGCAGGCTCACATGTAGAAACCGTGAAGGAAATTTGCTGCCTGGCTGTTAAGAAATTAAATGGTGTTAATGCCCAGGAAATAATTTCTGAAATACTGAAAGATTACTGTTCCAGAAACACTTTCACAATAACTGTTTTTTATGAGAAGAACCTGGATAAACTGAGGTATACCAATGAATATATACATTTACGCAGAAGTGAAATACTCTGATAGAAATAGACTTTTCAGCATGGCCTGCAACCTCTCGGAATTTCCAGAGAGTTGAGGAGAACCTGAATTAAAATACCGTGTTTCACGTAGGTCTATAAATTAAAAGAAGTCAATATAAGCGGAATGCACCATACTTAATTTAGCCATCTTTTCACCCCAGCACTGTGCTGCTAGTTTCCACAGTAGCTCCTGTTAATGGGAAAGAATAAAAGCCTTCTATTTTAAAATAATTAAGTGTTAACACTTTCCTAATAAATATAGACGAGAACACAGTACAAAATTAGCACAAATCCTGCAGATGGTAGAAAAAAATGTTTTCACTTGTTAACAATGACAACGAGTAGCTGAGTTGTGACTCCCTTTCCTTTCCTGAGTTAAAGTTAATTATGAATCCTTCCATAAAACTCAAATTTAGCATTCTTTCTATTTGTTTTGCTATCAGGGACAAAACGTAACATGAAAAATGTGAAGTGTTAGCAAGGAGAACACAGGATTCCCGTTGATGCCTTGTGGAGCAGGCGAGGTCAAGCAGCTGTTGCTAGATTCAGGCTACGCTGGCTCCTTGTTCCATCAGCTCCATCTGGTAACTGGGTACCTGTCTCAGATAAAATGATTTAAAATGCTGTTCTTCTCAATTTGACGAACAAAATCCATCACAACTAGAAACAGAGTTTCTGCCTATGAACAATCAGTTAGCTGGATTAGAAACAACTCCGTTTAAAGAGGCCCCTTAGGTGCCTGTATCCCCATTTTCAAGTTGTATGTACCATATTTGATTGAAAAGTAAAAGTGCACGATCTGCTTTTAGAAAGCATGTAATGATAAATAAATACAGCTATAAATAATGACAAGAGAAGTTGTTTTTTCCTGTGCTAGCAGCCAGCCTGCTGCTTATTTTGGTTGACATTAAGGTGTCACAGATTTAACTATTGTCTACTGAAAATACATAAATTATGAAAATTATCACATTTGAAAGAAGTAATTTAATAAAACCATAAACTGTCTAACACTATACCTATATGCTATATGTAGATAGATAGATAGACGTAGACTCGGTGTATTTCATTCACATTTTTATCCACTGAATCAAAAAGCACATATTCAGTTCCTGAAAAAAATCATAAGACGTTTTGTACATAATGTTCCTTTCAAAGAAGCAATAGTTGTCCAAGTGTATTTGGCCCGTGGTCAGGTTGGACAGGAAAAAATTTTTGTTTAATTCCCAGATTTTAGATTCCAGTGCTCATTAGTGTTGTCTTTAATTTCAGCTGTGGCCAGTCTGTGTTTTGGCTTGGTTGGTCCTCTGTTATCCCGTGTTATGCAGCATTATTATGTAGTTGTTTCACATTTCTGTTCCATTTTTAGTAGATGCCACATGTTTATAATGAGATATTTATAATCTTATTGATAGTCTGTCAGTGTTACTGAAAGCAATTATATGTTGTCCTCCTGCTGTCTGTCTGGTTTGAGGTAACCTCTGCAGTTTAAACCTCCTTTTGATTGCATACTTATTAGTATGTGCATAAATTGTTGGCAGGTTGGTCAAGACACTCCAGAAGGTCCCTTTGAGCCTTACATGTGTCTTTGCTAATCAGTGTAATGCGAGTTAGTGGGCCTGCAGTGATCTGTGAAGCAGATTTAAGGTAGTATTCTATTTA